AAAGAATGAAAAAAAAAAAAAGTCCAGGAGGAGAACAGAGGAGAAAGGATTGTGGTGTGGACATCCCTGCTGGGGGGTGATTTCTCACTTTTCCTCTTTCTGTCCCTGAAGAACACACGTGCCATATGGCAAAAACCTAAAACAAAAATGAGCCTGATTGTGGCACAGCTGGACCCATAGGGGAAGGGTCATTTTTTTTTTTTTTTTTTGAGATTTTTGCTATAGGGCACGTGCACTTGCCAGAAAGGCCAGGGGGAATGGCCATGCCACAATCCCTTCTTCTCCATTCTCCTCTTGGGATCTTGGGCACGCACGCACACGCCCCCAGCGTGAGTTTAAGCCACCAGGTCCGGGACTCGAACTGCAGTCAGCTACATAGGAGTCCAGCGACATAGCCATTACACTAACTGCTGGTCCCAGGGAAGGGTCTTGTGTTTATATCTTGGGCCCTCCCTGGGCACGCCAGGGGCACACATGTGCCTGTCATCCAGGCTGGCTGAGACTCAAGGAGGATTGCGGCATGGGGACCCTGTTAGGGAGCATGTCTCTGTCTCTCTCCTGGAAAAATCCATGATAAGTTAGAAAAAAGAAAAAAAATTATTAGAAAGAAAAAAGAAAAGGTGGAGAACAGGGCCAGCCCCGCTTGGGTCTTTGTCTGTGTAAGCACTTTCCATAGGGACTGTCACCGCATTCTATGGTCACATTGACTCTCAGGGTTGAGAATTGACCCGTTTCACAGAAAGACAATGCTGGACCCTGGGAAGGGTTTTACTTGAACAATAAGGAGTCATAAGTATATCCCATCTTCTCTCCCTTAGTCAGATGAGACTAATGATAACAATTAAGGGATAGAAGATGGAAACTTAGGGGTTACCAAGTGGCATGGTGGTTAAGGCACTGGACTCCCACATAGCCAACCATGGTTTGAGTCCTGGACCCAGCAGCTTAAAAAATATCAGGCACATGTGTGTGTGGGTGCCCAAAATCCCAAGAGGAGAATGGAGGAGAAAGGATTGTGGTGTGGCCAT